GTGCCTTGCTGTCCAAACAAAGGGTTTATGAGAACAAAGGTGCTCCCTCTAAAGGCTTCACCGAATTGATTTAATGAAGAAGGGAGCCTCTGTAAAACAGATGAAGTGTGGCAGGGCAGTTTATTAATGTGTTAATTTGGGCTTGTTCTCTTTGTATTCCCCTTCCTCAACTTTAAGTAGGCTTTTTTGGCTTCTGTGCCTCGGGTATTTTTGCTGGGAAGAAAGCAGATGCCATCTCAATTTAGTGCTCTTCCTGTTGTTTGTGTAAACATAAGCCCACTGAAAGACAATGGGAGATGTCTTGGTGAGGGCTGAGAGAAAGTGCATGTTTTTGCGGATCAGGAGATGGGGAGACAGAGGAAAGAAAGGAGAGATCTGTGGATCCCGTGAGCACCCCAAATTGGAACCACTCCTTACTGTGTGTCTCAAGGAAGCAACGGACCTCCAAACTGCACGGTGTACTTCAAAAGAGCAAGATCCAAGCAAAAAGGTAGAGTCAGCAAAACCCTGGCAGGCTTGGGGAAGGGCTAGAGTGACCAACTGTCCCATGTTATCTGGGGCAATTCATGGAATACAGGACTTTCAGTGTTAAAACTAGGAAAGTTCTAGGCAAATCGGGATGACTTTGTTACCGTAGGGAGAACCAAGGGGCAACCATGATGGAGTGGAGATTAGAAGACCTTGTCCTGATCTGTGGGCACCTGGTATGTCTTCTTTGGTTACGTAGACGGGAGAGAGTGTTCCAGCCATGACTTAGTGCTTTGGGGATCTCAGATTCAACTTTAAGCTGTTTTAAAAGAAACATCCAAAGTAATGTTTTTGCATAGCATAGCTTGGGCTATGATTCATGCCTAACACATAGGTTAAAGAAGTCCACAATTCCTCAACAAAACTTTGGGGCCAACACATTTCGGGATTCAGAACTTTTTGGGTTTTAAAGGTATAACAGTAAGTATTCTTTACATTATTACATGTGAATTCCAATGCAGTACTCTGTAATCAGGCACACTGATATTTCTACAGAAACATTTATTAATGTTTACATTGAACAAATTAAAGATTGTAAATATCCTTATGTCAACAAGGCTAGGTTGTGTTAGGTTGTGCTGCCAGAAACTTAGCTTAAATTTTGCCACCAGGTCAATTATTACAGTTTTCAGAAATTTTGAGACCTTGGAATTGTGGATAATGGATTGTTGCTGTATTTTTAAATATTTATAAGTATTAGGACAACTCCTCAACTTATTATCATACTAGGTCAAGGGTAAAACCTGTTCCATGTTTTCCAATAATTTCTGAAGATTCTAGAGAATCAATGAACATATAATGCCACTTAACACACTCATAGAATTGATTAGCCCCTAATATTAGAATTGATAATACATTTAAATTCCAATACAAGGTGATATATGCAACATTCAAATGTTCTACTTGCACATTACAGATTTTTTTCCAGACAACCAAAGTGCAGTTATCACAATTTAAAATAGTTTTCTGTAAAGGTCACTTGAAATGCTAAATTTGCTTGACCTGATAATGAAGAGGTAAAACATTTTTTCTTGAGCAATATTGCCAAACTACAGGTTTTTCTCCAGGGTGACAACCATAGGGCTTTTGGTCAGAAAGTTTTAATGTCTATGTGGCAGCAAAGTTAAGGATGCTGGTTTGCAAACTGCCATGCAGGGCTCTGAGAGACATGCAAATAATAGTAATTAATATGATGCTGATGATGCTTTTGTTTGTCAGCCTAGAAGGTAAGTTATTCTAAGCACTCTTAATTATGTGCAAGCACAGGCATTCTTTGTCCTGACTCAAAATCATCAAAATATCAGGTCTCCAGGGCCTGAAAAGTTGTACCCAATGAGTTTACAATTTCTAAAACTTTGGTGGTTTCATTATTATTCTTTCCTAGAGAGATAGCTCAAATCTAACCTATTCAGAGCTTTGAAGATAAAATTTGACCTCTTGAATCAAATTCAGTTGTATTTCCGTAAAAAGCCAAAGAAGCAAAGGCTTCTTTGTCACAATTCTTAGACTTCCACAGGGAAAGCCATGGGGAGAAGAGAAGGTATCGTAGATAGTTCCTCTCTAATGAAACCCTGCGTCACCTGGACCTAGATTGGACTCTGTGTCCACGTTTGTACCTATGTTATTTTGCTGCATTTATGTCTCTAATCACATATGATGGCTTGTAAAATGTGATGCTTTGGATGGGTTTTTTCTTCTTCATTTCATGTGGTTTTCAAAAGGCCTGGAAATCCATCTTCTTGTCAAAACCACTTATACTGTCTTTCGAGATCTTCTTGGTGTCAGGATTCAGTGCAGCCATTCACTCCCGTTCCTTCAGTCTTGATATTCACGACAAACTCATTACATGGCTGAAATCTAAAATATTTATGTATAGATGACACTGCGCCTCTAATTACTGCAAATGAGGCTCCTTGTCTCTTTCATGGTGTCTCCTCAGAGAGGGAGTCGGTGAGGAGCTGTGATTTTTTTTTTTTTTTTTTGCTAGCTCCTTTAAAACCTTGATGAAAGCTCTCTTCAGGCTGCCTACCCAATGGCAAATGCATTTAATGCTTGCTGTTGCCTCTGCCCCGCTGCATTTGCCAGATGAAGGCTGCTCGGCCTAGTCTCTTGGCTCACAGCGTGCTCCTGTGAGCTGGGGGCCACGGTTAAGGCTCTGGGCGCCTGCAATTGGAGGACTGTCAGCCACGAAATGATAAACAGCAAAGGCTGCTTTTATTAAGACCTCTCCACACTGACAAATTTGGCTTTCTTTCTTGCTGCTAAGCTCAATGGACTAGGAAGACTCAGGAAAGTTTTAATTCAGTAGTATTCTCCTTGCCAAATTTCTCCCAGGATTCTAGTTAACACTAACCCCGAACAAAACACCATAAGGGAAGCACATCTCTCATTGTTAGGCTCACCATGAAATGTAATGACTGATATATTTAATCCGTGGGCATGTAAGTCTGTGTTTCATTCATTATCAATCTATAATTAATCACCTTATATAAAATAAGAAATCAGAGCGAAATAAAAAGTCATAGAAATGAGCTCATAATTAAGAGTACATTATACAGACTTTATTATTTCATGGTATAAGCCCCAAACCATCCAGACTACAGTGAAATTTTTCTGTTTTTAAAAGTCTGCTTGCTATTCATAAGAATCTTCCTATAAACAAAAGATACTTAGATTTAAGTAGCTTTTTGTGCGTATGGTGGGGAGCAGGGGGTCAAAGAATGACCCTATGTGATGTAAGAGTCCATGCCAAAAGCTGCTTATAAATAATGACTGTTTATTCTTTGAATTTGATCAGTCCACTCAGCATGTAGAATAAAGCCAGAAAAAATAACGTGTACAGACCATGGTAAGCTTGGAGACAGTGAAGACTTAGAACGATGACTGGTAACATCTCTACCGTTGTTAGCATCCCATGCAATTGCTCTCTACCCAATTGATTTCTATGCATGAATCTCAAAAGAGATGCAGCTCCCTTTATAAGATAGCGTCTAATGTCTTCCTTTCTTTCCCAGTGGGAGCCAACAACTTCCTCTACAACTTTGGAAACAATAAGACTAGCCAGCCTAGAGTCTAAACTAATAGGAAAATAACACTAAAGTCTTTTCAATAGCCACCAAGTTTCAAAGAACAAGAACAAAACTCACCTGTAAAAAATGGCTAGCACCATGGACCACACCTAATTTTGGATTATTAGATTTCAGTTCAAAAGTCCTCTTTGCATCTCCCACTTGTGATAAATTAACAAATGGTATTGCTTGAATTAGCTATGCTTTGAGTTTTTCCTGCAAACACAGAACATTTGGTGTTCTTTTTCTTACTTCCATGTAGAAAATTTGGAAGCCTCCACCTGTTACCTTGAAAATAAAATCGGGTCATCCTTTTTTTTTTCCACAAAAATTTAAAAGGAACCACAGTTGTTATTTTAAGGCAAAATATTTATGTTGCAATAGTTACATCAATATCAAATATATTTAACATCAACTCTTAGAGAAATAAAGCACCTGCAAGGAACTTCCCCCAAACATGCTTCAGAAGAGCAATCTTGATTCAGAAATATAATCTTTAGTAATCATATGAACTGCCACTAAGGGACTCCTCAGGCAGAGCCTTCCTAATGAGCATCGCCAGGGAGCTCTGAGTGCTGCTGTCTCCTTACCCCCAAGCCACTGGGAAATACATCCGCCCCTTGCTCCCACTGCATAAAGTGGGAAATAATGCATTTCAAGAAGCTATGTCTTCTTATTCAGATTTACATGACAGGGAGGTGAAAAGAAGAAACCTTGTTTGTGATAGTTACAGATGTATCCCAAGCACCTGAACAGTGCCTGCAGCATATACGATGTTCAATGAGTAAATGATGGCACAGAGATTTGGTAGACTGCTGCCTGCCAAATGGAGGACTTTCAGGGTCATAGTAGACCAGCAAGTCAAGGAGGATTTTCCTGAACCCTGATCTACCATTTCGAACTTCCTGAATTGTTTTTCACCTTTCCTTCTCTCCACTGAAGAAAAAATGATAATTTTCTTGGGTGTAGGTCTATTGCTTATTCATAGGACATGTGTTTAATTGCCATACTATACTTAGTAGATTACTTATTTCCTCCAGAGCCAACCTATCCATTAGGCATAGTGGTAAACATACACACAACACACACACAAAATAGTTTTGAGACTGCAGAAAATGTTTTAATATAAAGTATTAAAATAATCAACTTTATACTAACACAGTTGTAAAATAACAGTTTTAATATTTTTTAATGGAGTAAGGGGCTCATGAAGGCAAAAGTGCCTAGGACTCGTGAAAATCATACTGCAGACTGTCTTCATTAGTCAGTGAACAGACAATATTGAAAACGAATCTGGTTTAAATGCAGAAAGAGGAAGCAAAGAGAAAAGAGCTGACAAAAAGAAGTCATGTTTTTAGATGTGGGCTGGCAGTGGGAGAGAAGAATGCCTTGGAGAAGGCTGGAGAAGCAGGAGGCTGAAACCAGAGAGGTGGGTAGGGGTATCTGGGGGAGCTTCTGGAACAGGTGGGGTGTTGAGTCCATATTTGGCAGGGGAAGATGTATTTTCTGGCAGGCTGATGAATAATGGAATTTGAGAGCTAGAAGTGCTCTTAAGAGCTGTTGTATTCCAACTCCTTATTTTATAGGTGAGAAGACTGAGTCTTATTAAATTATTGGGAAGATAGATTCTGATTCTAATGCCGTTTCCACTGCTCTGCCAACTCTTCCATTTGTCTGAATTGTATTTACAAGACGGGGTGAAATGAACAACAAACTTCATTTACGTGTTTATTACATGTGTGTAATGCACATATCTGTGAGCAATTCCACACATACCATAATGTTAGACAATCATTTTCATGAATCTTAATAGATCTTAATAGAATACTTTCCAGTCACAGAATGGGACATTTTTGTTTCTTATCCCTCTCAACTGTACTGCAACTCTGACTTGGAATCATTAGCATGTGCCTGGCCCCTCCCAAGTAAGAAGCCTGGACCTAGTAGCACAGCTAAATTGGTCAGATGACTAAAACGACAGGTAGCCAAGTCTGGCTAAAGTGAAACCAGAACCCACCAGAATTAGTGGGGCTGATTCTACTCTGATTCCAGAAAAGTCCTAGTTCTAGAGGGTCTGTATGAGACTTTCTCTCATTCCCAGATGAGAGCCGGCAAACTGCATCTAAACTTCTGACCCATTCTTGAGTCATTCAACAAATATACCAGAGAGCTATTCTGCACAAAACGCAGGTAATAATAAATGGATGCAAGGGTGAATTATGATTGGACCCTGTCCTCAAGGAGTTTATAGTCTAACTGAAGGTCTAATGAAGGGAAGAGTGAAGAGCCCACAGGATGGTGGAAGCCACATAATCAGCGTTCAGGATCACATGGATCCATTCTGCCTCTAGGACATCCCTTTACGAGTAAATGCTTGGGAGGTTGTAGAATGAAATACATTCTTCACACATGAGCCAGAGTTCAGGAAATTAAAGAGGAAGGGAATCAAGGAAGGGAAAGGTCAGGGGAGTAGTGGGAGAGGATATTGCTATCTGAGTTTTCAAAAGACATTTCAATTCAGATGAACTCATGGAAGGAACTACGCTTTATTCCTTAAAGCTTCATTGCGCGATTTCCTAAATGAAGGAGCAGTCTGATTGGTATATTTAGCATCCTCAGAATAAATCTGCATGGGGGTTACACAACCTATCATAGGAATGAGGGGCTTCCATTTTCCATGTATATATTGCTATCACCATGTCTCTATGAGGTAGGGATTTGACCCTTATTGTCTCTAGTTTGAAAACATGAAGTCACTGTTTAATAAACTAGCTCCTACTCCAGATTCTTGAAAGGCAGTCCTGTTTCTGTTAATTATTAAGGATACAAAGCTGTACAAATCCTCTTCCTCATCAAATTCACTCTTGTAATATAAACAGATTAATTTTCTAAATTATCAATTTCAGTATGTTGTTTCCACAGTCTCATGACCAATAGAAAAAGACTAACCTCCTTCCCTGATATTAGACAGTCAGCCCACCCTCACAATCACGTTCCACTGCTCCATACACAGGTATACTATGCAATCTACACAGACCCTCACAGCCTGCCACGCAAAGACGCATGTCTACACCTGCTCATACTACTCAGGAACACCCACTGTTTCTCTACGCCTACACATTCATTTATTTATTGGACAAATATTTATGGTGTCCCTACGCAGTTTCAAAAACTTTAATAGGTTCTGGGGATTCAAAGGTGAACAAGACAAACATAGTCCCTCCTTCAGGAGCTTTAAACTCTAGTTTTGATAAGTGCTACACAGAACTACAAGGCATTCTGATGACATGCAAAGGTAGCATGTTACCTAATCTGGTGGGTCATGGAAGCCTTCTCTGAGGGAATTACTTTAAATCTGAGATATAAAAAATTAAGAGGATTTAGCCAAGCATTAGAGCATTCTATGAAGAAAGAACCACTGGTGTAAAGCCCTAAGGCACGTCCAGATCCTACCCACCCTGCAAGACTCAGCTAAATTTTCTTATTTATTTATTTATTTATTTATTTATTTATTTATTTATTTATTTTTTCGAGACGGAGTCTCACTCTGTCACCCAGGCTGGAGTGCAGTGACGCCATCAGGGCTCACTGCAAGCTCTGCCTCCCAGGTTCACACCATTCTCCTGCCTCAGCCTCCCAAGTAGCTGGGACTACAGGTGCCCACCACCACGCCTGGTTAATTTTTTGTATTTTTAGTAGAGATGGGGTTTCACCATGTTAGCCAGGATGGTCTCGATCTCCTGACCTTGTGATCTGCCCACCTCAGCCTCCCAAAGTGCTGGGATTACAGGCTTGAGCCACCATGCCTGGCCAGCTCAGCTCAATTTTCAACTTCTCATCAAGTTTTCCTGACCTCTGGAGTCTGTGTTGAAGAACTGCTTACTCTTCTGAACTCACTGACACTCTGACTCTGTACCATTTTCCTAAGCTCTTAGTCACCATTGTTCTTATCACCATACCATGTTTTATCTTTATCCTGCCTGGATTGTACCAGGACAGAACCATGCTCTGTGTCGTGCAATCTTCATGAACATCTAGCTCCTGGTAAAAGTGTCTTACAATCTTCATGAACATCTAGCTCCTAGTAAAAGCTCAATAAATATAAATTAAATGCATGTTTGCATGACTGAATGTATGAATGAACAAATGGTCTTGGTCAATTCAAGTTCCATGCATGGCCATTCAGTAAGTCTCAATAGAGGCATCATAGCAGTATAGAAGATATAGTATTCTTGACATTTTTAAAAGATTATTGGCCATTCATCTCATTAAATAGATCATAACCCCCAAATCACCCCCGTTCCGCCCCCCCTAAAAAAACATGAGGATGGATGAATGGTCAGAAGAAGCTGTTTCTATTCATGGTGCTGTGAGAAGATGCTTTTCTACCTAATAGGTGTTAGGTTATATAAATTGGTCTCAAGAAAATCTCTAAATGGAATGTGCTGGATTCTGTTGGATATGATATGTTCTTAGTGAAAGAGAAACCACCTTACCTAGTCTCCAGGCAGAAGAATCCTTCAATAGAAGCCTGCTGAAGGATGCGTGGATAGGCCTATGGACTCTCATGATAGCTAACCTCTTCCACGAACCAAAACAGAAAACTGACACCACCTGCCAGTTTGCAGTAAATTCTCATCCTACTCCTGGGCCTGCCAACATTTTCACTCCTGTGGTTTCCTGCCTCCTCCACCTTTGTTCCTCAACCTCCTTGGAACCAACCTGCCAACTTCAGGCCAGGTGGTATCATCCTTCACTTAAGAAAAATTTAAAATGGAACACACTCAATTTCTGTTGCCTACATCAAAAACCACCTCAATGAGTTTTTAGTTGATATTTATATTTGAAAGCTGGCTGTGGTTGGGAGAAAATGTAACCACAGAGAGGCAGCTGACTCAGAGAGGGCACAGGAGAAGCTAAACTATTAACACCTTAGTTCCTGGTCTCTGAATTTTCCCACCCTCTGGATTTTAGATGAAGTGCCAGAATGGGAAGCATTTTGCCTAACATAAATAGTGATAGGATCTTTGCTGTGAGTGTCAAACCAGAAGATATCCAAGTAGGACTGGAATGAAGAGAGGCCCAAGGATAACAGGAGCTCAGTTCAGTTCAATGTGTACTTATGGGCACCTGCTAAGTTGCATACTCTGCACTGGGCACTAGAAATACAAAAATAAATAAAGTATTGTCCCTGATTTAAAGGAGCTTGTGATCCAGTGGGGGATTCGGACATGTGGACATGTCAACACGTGATTACTGTGCTATGTGGTAAGTGCAGTGAGAAATAGGAAATAAGAGAAAGGAAAACATCAACCATCTCAGGAAGGATAGAAAAGTCTGGAGGGTTGAAAATGATTCTGAAATGATCGTACTGATGTTATAACGATAGGTCACATCGCCACATAGCAACATAAAAATTTTACATAAAAAGAGGTCACTGTGTTTTGGGGAAATAATTACTTAATTTCTCGCCCAGTGGATCAAATGAGGAATTCCATGACCCAGATTAAGCCAGAGCAATATGAAATTTAATTACTTTAATCGCTCAAAATTGGTAATGCACACAGCTCTCTGCTTAGACCCTGAAATTTGACTAAAGCCTTTATGACTTGTTTACGGAAAGGTTTATCAGCCTCAGCACTGATGACATTGTTGGACTAGATAATTTTTATTGTATCAATGTCCTGTGTATTGTGGATGTTTAGCCTTTACCCATTAATGCCAGTGGCATCCACCATCTCCCTAATTGGGATAAACTAAAATGTCTCAAATTGCTAACTGTCTCTTGAGGGGTAAAATCAACACTAGTTAAGAACAACAAGTTAGGAAGTTTGTAGAAATGAACACAATCATGTCTATTTAGTTCAAGATAATCAGTTCCTATCTAAGGCTCTGTGTAATAACCCAAACCCAGGAACTTGTCATCATCATTGTAGTTAAGCCTTTTCTTAGACAATTTCTACTTGAGACCCAATGATAGCTGTTTCAGAAATGTCTAATTTCCTCCATTATACATTCTACTTCTCTCAGGCAACCTGGAAAAAGAACTCTCAATTTTCAGCTGACCATCCGGAATAGATATTTCCTGGTCTTGCCAATGAGCTATAAGCAGAATTGGTGTGTGCAGTTTCTAGGAATGTCCTTAAATGGATGGAATGTGTTCTTCTTCTTCAATTTCTTCCTTTTTACACTTGATGTAGATGTAATTGCTGGAGCTCCAGCAGCCATACTTGATTATGAGGTGACATTGGGAACTGAGGCCACGAATTTCAGCTCAACAGATAGAAAAGGCTGACACTGGGCAGGGCCTTGCCAGCCTTGAATTCCTGAATTGCCACCTCCAGACTATCAAATGAGATATTGTTTTTTGTATTGTTATTGTCTCTGTTACTTTCAGCTGCACCTGATATTAATCAATACAATTGCCTAAAGTGGACATTTACTGTATTTCCAAAAGTCTCTGGACCACAATCTTCATCACATTAGGAAGCTTGGTCAGCTTTTCTACTAGAACCTTTACAGAAAACTCCATTCTCTTCTATTCTCTTTTCTTCTCTTACAGTACACAGCACAGGATATTAGTTATTTCAACAATAACCCTCCTACCACCTCTCACTCTCCTACTCTAGCTAGTCAGTTACACTAGATAGACTGTTGCCACCACTTACTAAAAGTTTACATCTCCTTGAACCCATCAGACATAAAAATGAAATGAGAATACCTATTATTGCCAGAGTTGCAAGAAAAAGTATACTCTCCACTATTTCTGGTAGAAATGTGACATGTTGCTGTTTTTTTAAGAGCAGTTTAATAATAGCAAGAGAATTGAAAAATATACCATTCCACCCAACTATCAGCTTCTAAGAAGTAAAATCAATACTAATGAAAGATACATGTCTAGGGTTATTTATCGCATTTTTCCACAGAAAAGGAATAATATTTCTCATAAGATAAATAGAGGAGTATATTTGAGATCTATCAACATATAGTTGGTATTTAAAACTATGGGGTTGGATGAAATCATCTAGGAAATGAGTTGTGAAAGAAAAGAGATTTGCGGACTGAGCCTGGAGTATTCCAACATTTAAGAGTTAGGAAGATAAAAAAGATTCAGCCAAAGAAAATGAGAAATCTTCTTCCACCAGTGAGATAGGTGGAAAACCAGGAGAGAGGTTTCCTTGCAGCCAAAAGAATAGAGAGTTTCAAGAAGGATAAAGTGATCAACTATGCCAACTGCTACCAAGAGGTTGAGTAAGATGAGGATGAAGAAAGAATCATTTGACATGGCAACATGGAAATCACTGAAGACACTAGCAAAAGCAGTATCAGTGGATTGGTGGGGACAACAGCTTGACAGAGTGGGTTCAAGAAAGAATGGAAAGTGAGGAAGTGAAGAAGGTGGGTATAGATAACTCTGCATTTTTACTAAAAGGAAATGGATCCGTGGGTTACCAGAAAGTATTTTGTTTAGATGCAAAGCAATGTAGCATGTTTTTAGAGCAATGGTATAGCAGAAGGATAAATAGGTGATTCAAGAGAAGGAATAATCGCAGAGTGAAGTCAATGAGTAGATAACCTCATAGAGGGGTGAGCCTCAGATAAGAGCCAGGACAGCACACCTGCTATGACACAAGGGAAGGCACAATATATGGGCACCAATGGAGGTATGATGGCACATTTGATGGTGGATGGGGAAAAGATTCTCCTCTGATCACTCTGGCCAACATCTAGCTGATCCACAGATATGCGAGCAAGCCCAGATGAAACCAGAAGAACTGCACAGCCTAAATCATCAACCTACAGATGAGATGAGTAAGTTAAATACATGTTTATTGTGTTAAGCCACTAAATTTTTGGTGATGTATTACATGACATTATGATAGAAATAGATAACTGAGGCAAGGAATGTTCCATGTCTATGGGTACATATGGAGCTGCCTCATTTTTTAATAAATGACTACATATAGCATTGAGCTGTATGTGCCATATTTTATTTTACCATTTCCTTATTACTGTTTATTTTAGTTGCTACTATAAACAATGCTGCAAGAAATATCTTCCTACATATGTCTTTGCACATGTACATGGATCTGAACAATGAATTCCTAGAAGTGAAATTTTGGGGTTGAAATTTATATGCAATGGTAATTCTAATAGATATTCGCAAATGGACATCTATAAAGCATGTAAAAATGTATGTTTGCCAATAACTTATGAATGCATTTCCACACATCTTCATGTTATCAATTTTTTGGCCAATATGGTAGATGTAAAAAATGTAATTACTATAGATAGCACTTTCATTCCTCTTATTATGTGGTCCTAGAATAAATCCCACCATCCTTACTGTTTCCGTTGACTCTGAAGAGCACCTATTTCACTCTTATCAGCCCTGTTCAAGAGGCATAGGGACCTCCTCCTTGCTTCACACCGTTTCCCCAGTGGTTTTATATTATCAATACTCTTCTTTTGTCAGTAGGCTTTCCACTAAGTTTCAGTAAGTTATGACTCACTTAATGTAAGGAAAATAGGAAAAACATTCCACATCTTTGCAGAGGAATGAGTTGTGTTTAAGATTGTTTATTATAAATGGAAATGTTGAAGGAAGGTTGAAAGAAGCTAAAAAGGAAGAAGAAATTTAAAAGAGAGATAAAGATGGGACTAACAGAGTTTTCTGAAGTCCCTTTGTATTAGTTAGGGTTCTCTAGAGGGACAGAACTAGTGGAATATATATATATATACACACACACATACATATATATATATGGATTTATTATGGGTATATATGACTTGACTCTGCAATTATTCCTTCTCTTGAATCACCTATTCACCCTTCTGCTATATCATTGCTTTAAAAACATGCTACATTTCTTTGCATCTAAACAAAACACTTTCTGGTAACCCACTGATCCATTTCCCTTTTAGCAAAAATGCGGAGTTATCTATACCCACCTTCTTAATAAACCCATATATATGAGTTTATTACAATCTTCTTGTAACTGATACGATTTCCTGTATTGCTCAAGAAAACATAATGTCTCTATGCTGAGTTGAAACCCTTAAATAAAGCACTAAATTGAAAAGATACATTTCAATGCAGCTGTTCATTGTCTTTTCAATTCTATCACTTTCCCACTTAGTGTATTTATTTCTTTCACACATAATAAGCCTTAGTAAGAGGAAAGGAGACTGGCAGGAGAGACAACTGAGTCATTCAGGGTTTCTAGTTGTCTCATCAGATAATCACAGAACGTCAATGCCATTCAGGGAACAATCTGTTGGGGAAAGAACAGTCTGTTGGGGAAAACCCATATATGTATATGGGTTTATTGAGTATTAACTCACATGCTCAAAAGGTCCCACAATAGGCCATCTGCAGGCTGAGGAGCAAGGAGGGCCAGTCCTAGTCCCCAAACTGAACTTGGAGTCCAATGTTCAAGGGCAGGAAGCATCCAGGATAGGAAAAAGATGTAGGCTGGGAGGCTAGGCCAGTCTCTGTTTTCACATTTTTCTGCCTGCTTATATTCTAGCCATGCTGGCAGCTGATTAGATTGTGCCCACCCAGATTAAGGGTAGGTCTGCCTTTCCCAGCCCACTGGCTCAAATGTTAATCTCTTTTGGCAACACCCTCACAGACACACCCAGGATCAATATTTTGTATCCTTCAATCAAGTTGACACTCAGTATTAACCATTACACCCTTTGACTTCTACCATATTTCCTAACTTTGCTCTCACAAGAGATTTGTATGTTAACTAGAATCTGCTTTAAGTTACTTCAGCATGGACAGTGTGATAAACTTGTGAACACTAGTTTTCACTTTAAGGCTGGTCAGCTGCCCCCAGGGGGTCTGCATTCTCAACAGGTCTAAAGAGCAGTCATCCAAATGGAAAGTCATACCAGTAAAATAAACAGGTAAATAAATAAAATAGAACTTTAAGATAATGAGGGAAGTACTAAACAAATATAAAAGGGGCTGTGGGTGCACATGATAAAAGGATACAATTTTTAGAGGTAGAGTTTGGGGCCTTGCATAGCTTCCCTATCCCCATAATGCTATTAATGTATCCAACATACACTAAGGATATTTATGTAATTATTCAATGTGCTATACAATTTTTAATCATAAAACAAGGTCAGGAAAGTTCATTTATGAATAAGTATAAGTAATTTGACCTTAACCCAACGTGAAAATTGTCAGGTTGGATGCATTTTTAATTTTACCAAGGATTCTTAGCTGTATTACTTTGCACTCAAAGGGCAATTAGCTTAGCTAGTGGTTTCTGATAGTCAAGCATTTTTCTTTTGAGCATCTAACCAAATTGCATTTGCAATAATAAACCTCCCTGAAGTCAATAGGTCTTTGGAAAAAAAGAGTGTGGATGACTGAAGAGAATTGAGATGGAGTTCATGAAGGACAAAATAGAGACCCTAATGCAGCCTTTTATCTTCTCCATTAAATGGGCAGGCAAATCAGAGACTCAAGTGAGCCAGCCTTCTTGTAACTGATATGATTTCCTGGATGGCTCAAGAAAACATAATGTCTCTATGCTGAGCTGAAACCCTTAAATAAAGCACTAAATTGAAAATATACATTTCAATGCAGCTGTTCATTGTCTTTTCAATTCTATCACTTTCCCACTTAATGTATTTATTTCTTTCACACATAATAAGCCTTCGTAAGACGAAAGGAGACTGGCAGGAGAGACAACTGAGCCATTTAGGGTTTCCAGTGGTCTCATCAGATAATCACAGAACGTCGGTGTGTTGAGGGAACAGTATGTTGGGGAAAGAGCAATAATGACGTGGCTGCAGGCTCAGTGGCTGGGCCTGTGTTGAGAGTCTGCTGAGATCTTTCTGACCAATTCTCTCAAACAATTGTTTTCTTCTTCCCCAGATCAACCAATTACTTGGCTGAATCAAGAAACAAGTGGTTGTTTTGACTTTACTCTCTCGCCCAATGCTAAATTGAAGTTTGCATTTTACCCATAGCTGCGATCAATTCACGATTAAATTGAGACTCAGTTTGAGATACAAAGCAGCTGCAAATTATGTTCGAAAGTCAGTAAATCATTGTCAACTCATTTTGTGGCCTTGGAAATATACCAGAGATGTGTAAAAATAGCACCAGCTACATACTTTTCTTTGAAAAATCCAAGCAGCCAGTGATCTGTGGATGTTTTCTCCTTTTCTTATTTATTTTCTTTTACCATATTTTTATTGTGATATTTTATCCTAAAAGTAGTTGGTTCTGATCCATTTGTTTTCATTCACAGTGGCCAGATATGTTTCCAAGAGTGCTTATATGCCCATAGCATTTGGAGGGCTCCATACCTGGGTGGCTCATCACCTTACCTTTTCTATTCTTGCCACTACATCTTTCAAAGGACTAACGCGTTGAATGACTGGCCCATGGTAAAATAGGGGCAAAAATTCACCTGGGGAACCTAAGCTTGTCTCACCTTCTCATGTTGCATATCCCCCCAAAACTGTACATTGCCTATCACAAAAGTGTAACAAGTGTGTAACGTTACCCAGATATCCAGGAGAAAGTTGGCAAAGAGATGTCATTTATTATGTCAATTCAGACGGGTTGATTGATGACAGTGGCTTGGCTAGCTATGTCCAGGCTTAGTGGAAAGAGACAGTAGTTAACACGCAATGTCTGACAGGTGCACTCCTCAGGCACTTGTCCTCCCTCCCAGTTCCAAAGTATGCTCAGGCTCTATGCACTGATTGAACAAGTGTTCCAGGAGGTGCAACAAGCAGAACATCTTTTTAATAGGTTCATTGGCACTCAGTACTCATGCAAGCCTTTTCTTTTCTGTACCCTTAGGGGTTAGAGAAAACTTCTTCACATGATAACTATATCCTCTGCATGGGCAGGCCTATAAAAGAGCTCCTGACCAAAGCCCTGCAACAAGAGACCTCTAAATGGAGTGGCCAAGTCAGAGTGGCAGAGAGATCCAGTACAGATTTTGAGTCCAGCACCTACCTTCTCTTCCCATTAATGGTTCTTGTGCTGCCCTGAATGCTGGGAAACCATGGGGCTAGGGAGTTTCCCTTACAAGAAAAGCTGAAACATGACCCAGCCTCTTAGAGGTGGCCATCCACTGGCTCCTTTATTGGCGCTTGCCTCCAGCAATCTATTGATCCTGGAAAATCCAACTACCTACCACCCTGAGCCTATCTCCAGTGAGCTTTATGGATATTATTCCTTTTAGATAGTATGCTCCTTCCAGATAAGGAGCTCTGTGAGTTTAGACTGTATGTTTTTTCAGGCGTTTCTTTATAATGATAGTGTTTTGCTTATGCTACATAGGGCTTGAGACTTGAGTGATCTCATTTCTGTGAGTTCTCTCCCTTTTATTTTGTTCCCTTAGGAAATGTTTACTCCAGGTGCAGTGACTTGTACTTGTAAACCCAGCAACTCAGGAGGCTGAGGTGGGAGGAACACTTGAGGCCAGGAGTTTGAGACACCTGGGCAACATAGTGAGAACTCATCTTTAAAATGATTTTTTTTTTTAATTCATAAATTTTAAAGATCTTAGCCAGGCATGGTTGTGCGTATCTGTAGTCCCAGCAACTTGGGAGATTGAGGTTGGGGGGCATCACTTGAGCTCAGGAGCTGGAAGTTGCAGTGAGCTATGATCACGCCACTGCACTCCAGCCTGGGCAACAGAGCAAGACCCCATCTTGAAAACCAAAATCAAAAAAAAGTTTTGACATTTTGGTTTTTAGTTTTAGTGTACAGTTTTCAGGCTCCATCTTCCTCTTTCTTTCCTCAAGATCCACCCTCTTATTCTCATTTTTACTCTCATTCTCTCTCCCTCTCCTTCTTCTCTTTCTCCCTGTGCCACCTCTCTTATATAAAACAGTGTCTTTTACTGTGACGCTCCCTGTTTGTAGCATAACCACAAACTTTCACGTATCCATACACACACACTCTCGCAGCAGGCTACACATTCTCTTGCGCTGTGGATCTGAAAAGTTGGGTGGTTTTCCTACTCACCAGTGGAGCCAGGTGTGGTGGCAAGAGTGCTCCTGGGAGGCCAGGATTCTCCCACATACTAGTTGTATGATTAGGGGCAAGTCAACCTCTCTCTGTTTCTTCATCTTTTAGAAAAAGGGTAGCTCTCCCTGCCCTATCTACTTTGCAGAGTTTTTACAAAGATAAAATAAAGAGATCATCATGAAATCTCTTTGTAAAGTATAAATTGCTATGTAAATGTTATTTTATTACTGCTGTCTTTTTACAAATCAGGTCACTTCACTGTAAGGTGGTAATTATACTGCAGGAGGATCCAATTGTCCCCTGCAGGCACTCAACCGAAGAATGACAGCTTTTAGGCAATGCCTATCCCATGTCATTAATTCTCACTTATCTGAGATCCTCTTCATCATTCCATAGGATGCTGCCTGATTTCCTGACATTAACAATGAACACAGCCAGAATCAAGAGGAGGAAGCTACTGGGACTACGGCAGTCAAGGAAACACCATCAACACCCAGTCTTCCTCCCACATTACTCAGAGACTTTTATCTTTGCCATCCCTAAACACATTCTTGCAGGTCTCCAGGTCCCTTCCAGCCCATCTTAGATAAAACTTTATAGGAAAAATGTGCTTCTAATATAGAGGTTTCCATTTGGACACCTGGTATTTGAATCACAACTCAAACTTTTTTAATGCCACCCTCTGTTTCCCTACTGGATCTTAAAGACAATTGGCACTGAAGCATAATAAAATAATCAATTATGTCTTATCTATGCTATGCTATTTGAGAGCATTTCTCTCAAAATCTCTTCTATACTTTGATTTAAAAGTAAGATTTATACCACAAAGCCAATGAATGAATATTAATGTGATATTTTAGATGATATCTAATGAAAAATCTCAAATATCATACAATGTAATTAATTTATATGTTCAATATACCAGTTTCTCACCAACTATGAGAATTTGATTCCTAAAAATCCCCTTGGTGGAAGAATTCAGATTTTGAAATAAAATATCTTACAGAAAAAGAAAATTAGTAGAGTTAATACTCACAGTAAACCTTAAAAGGTCCTTAAAAATGTATTTCTATTATATGATCCAGCAACCTCACTTCTGAGTATGTATCCAAAAGAATTGAAATCAGCATCTTGAAGGGATATTAGCACTACTGTGTTCACTGCAACACTATTCACAATTGCTAAGTTGTGAAAACAAATGTCCATCAACAGATAAATGGATAAAGAAAATGTGGTATATACATACAGGGGAAAACTGCTTGACCTTAAAAAAGAAGGAAATTCTGTAATAGGCAACACCATGGATTGACCTTGGGGACATTATGTTGGGTGAAATAAAGCCAGACACAGAAAGGAAAGTACTGCATGATCCGACTTAGATGATATATCTAAAATAGTCAAACTTAGAAAACAAAGACTGGAATGGTGGTTACCAGGAGCTGGAAGTAGGAGGAGATGGGAGTTATTAATCAACAGGCGTAGAGTTTCAGTTCAGTAAGATGAATAAGCTTCTGAGGTTTATTGTACATTGTACGTATAGTCAACAATAATGCACCATATACTTAAAATTTGTTAAGAGGATAGATCTCATATTAAGGGATATTGCAATTAAATAAGAATTTTAAAATATACATTGCTATCGATTTGAAGACAACAATAAAGGCAGCATATTCCTTAAAGATAGAATCAATGAGATTAAGTTTTTACCATTTGAAAGTCATCTTCTGGTTGTCTTTTACCTCGAATCAAGCTTCATGAGATGAAAAAGGCTGCAATGAACTGAATTGTCCCCAACCTCCCATTCATGTGTTGAAGACCTAACCCCCAATGAGATGGTATTTGGAGACGTGGTCTTTTGCAGAAAATTTGGTTTAGATGAATTCATGAAGATGAGGGTCCTCTTGGTGGGATTTGTGCCTTTATAAGAAGATACACCAGAGAGCTTGCTTGTTTGCTGTCTCTTTCTGTGCATGCTCATGCAAAGAAGAAATCATGTGAGCACACAGGGAGATGGCGGCCATCTGTAAGCCAGGAAGAGAACCCTTACCAGAACTGTACATAGTTGGCAACCTGATCATGGACTTCTAGCTTCCAGAAGTGTGAGAAAATAAATCTGTTTTTTAAACCACCAAGTCTATGGTATTATGGCAGCTCAAGCAGACTCAGATAAAGGCAAATACCAAAACGGGGCCCTAAAGTCCCAAGGGAAAACAGGAAAGTGTGTCCCAAATAGATTGGTCAATGGCATGGGGAACAAAGGTGTGGGGAACAAGGGCAAATTATCAAACCTGAGTCTGAGAGCCTAAGAAGGAACTGGGGAAATAGAGAAGTAACAGCAACAGGTTGGATCAGAATAGTCAGAGATAAGACATTAATTCCTGTAGCAGATTTTTGCACATTCCAGGTACACTAGTGTGTGGACAGCCAAGCCCATTTAAAGACACCAGACAGAGTGAGGAGCAATGCATCATTATTATCTTAATTATTTCTAATAAGCAGGACTCACAATTTGGATACATGGGAAATACTATTTTTACAGTTGCCAAAAAAAAAAAAAAAAATCTATATTGGACTTTTGCATATGGACTTGAGACGGAATAATTCCTATGACATTTTGCAAAGATCTATTTTCATGGGTGGAATTTTCATCATGCTTCATTTTAGATGTCCTCCAATCTGATAAACAACAAAAGGGTTCCAAGGATCCATTTATTCAGAAGAAACTGAAATTTAGAATTAATTTTAAACCTTCCATAAAGCTGTTCTACATCTGAAGAAAAAGGTATTTTCTTCACTAGTCTTTGTGGTTTTCATTTCAATCATTATATGAATAACCAAAAATCTCTTCTGATGCAAATATCAGTATTTGGAGAGATCCATCTTTTTATATTGTATTCCTGAATATCTTTAACCAGAATTCTAGAAGGTAGATAGCCATGTTCTTGAATTGTCTGATCTCTCTAAATACCTACTTTGCTTTTGAGGTGTAAGACAAAATACATACACTAGCTCTCTGTATCAGCAGATTCTACACTCGTTTACTCAACCAAGCATCAAAAATATTTGAAAAATAAAAAATGATACAATAAAAAACACAAATTTTAAAAATACAGTATAGCAAGTATTTACATAACATTTATGTTGTATTATAGGTATTATAAGTAATCTAGAGGTGATTTAAAGTATACGAGAGGATATGCATGGGTTATGTGCAAATACTACACCATTTTATATAAGAAATTGGAGCATCGCAGATTTTGGTATCCATGGGAGAGGGGGTTGTCCTGGAATCAATTCCCCATGGATACCAAGGGATTACTGTACAGCAAGTATATGTTTCCTATGGCTGCTGTCACAAATTACCACAAATGCAGTGGCTTAAAACAATCAACTTTTATTATCTTATAGCCCTAGGGATCAGAAGTCCAACATGGGTGTCACCGAGCGATTTCAAAGCGTCAGCAGGGGTGTGTTCCTTTCTGGAGGTCTAGGTGCAAATCTGTTTCCTTGACTTTTCAAGCTTCTAGAGGTTGCCTGCATTCCTTGGCCCATGGCTCCCTTCATCTTCAAAGCCAGCCACGACGTATTACATCCTTCTCACACATTTTGACACAAACTCGTTTGCCTCCATCTTTCACATGCAAGGATCCTTGTGAGTACACTGGACTCATCCAGATAATCCAGGATGATCTCCCTATTTTAACAACAGCTGATTAGCAACCTTAACTTTATCCACAATCTTAATTCCCCTTTGTCATGTAACATAAAATATTCCCAGATTCCAGAGATTAGGATGTGAGCACCTTCGTGTGTGTGTATGTGTGTGGCAGGGTGTATTATCCTGCCCATTACAGTGTATTTGGTACAGGTTAGAGAGAGGAGGTTGTCATTAAGATCTGGGTCCACATGCATAATTCAATAAAGTTACTCATAGAAATGATGTATTGAAGCACCTCCAATAAATATGCTAATAGAGGAACTGTAAATATTTTTGTTTATATTATCAAAATTACATTGATTTTATAATGTGAAAAGAGACTAGAATTGATTAAAATGAGCAAAGTGGAGTCAGTACTTCCACCATCCAAATGTAATAGTGATACGTATGTTGCCCTTGGATGTTCTGCAAAGGTATGAAACCAGCTGAAAAGAGGTACAACTTAAGCTGTTCCTGTGCGTTGAACCAAAGAAATTTAAAGTCCAGTAGCGCATGCCTCTTAAGGAGGGAGGGATAGGCTATAAGGCAGTGAGTTTCTGACGATGAACCAAACTATCCTTCCAACAATCTATTCCTCTTGCTATATTCTTTAATAAAAACTACTGCTTTATAGGCAAAATCAAGTCTTTTATGTATTCTGCACTCCCGACTACCCTATAACAAAACTAATACTTCCCTATAGTCACTTGTAATTCTTTTTCAGAAATCTCTTTCCATTCTCATTTTTTCTGCTATTATTTTATACAGCATTTCTTTAATAAATGGCCTCAATACTGCCAATGCTTTAGCAAGTTTTTTTGTTGTTGTTGTTTTGCTTTCTTGTTTGTGTGTGTGTATGTGTGTGTCTGTGTGTGTGTGTTTTTTTTGAGACAGAGTTTTGCTCTTATTGCCCAGGCTGGAGTGCAATGGTGTGATCCTAGCTCACTGTAATTTCTGCCTCCCGGGTTCAAGCAATTCTCCTGCCTCAGCGTCCTAAGTAGCTGGGATTACAGTCATGCACCACCATGTCTGGCTAAATTTTGTATTATTAGTAGAGACAGGGTTTCAGCATGTTAGCCAGACTGATCTCAAACTCCTGACCTCAGGTGATCCACCTGCCTCGGCTTCCCAAAGTGCTGGGACTACAGGCATGATCCACCGCACTTGGCTACTTTAGCAAGTTTTGATGCAACTATGTTTGTATATGCCCTTACAACCAAGGTTCCTGGTACCCCAATCTGTTCTAATCTCAATTTACTACTGAAGTTCATTACATCATGCTAATTATTAACATACTTATTTTGTTTTTCAACATATCTGAAGTTGGAGAAATTGTTGCCAAAAGAATCTTTGCAGATCTATCAGAACAACTGCCTGCCAATTCAGAATAAAGGTAGTCACTGAATGGATTCTGTCTAAGATTTTCATGACTAAAGTCTTAATTATTTCAGACTAAGCTTGAATGAGCAAAATGTTTAGTTTTAGAGATGTACCTTCTTCAGGCAAAGCACTGGACTCCAACCATATTAGTCAGATTGGGCTTCCAGAACAAAATACCATAGACTGGGTGGCTTAAACAACAGAAGTTTACATTTTCATGGTTCTGGAGACTGGAAGTCCAGTTCTGGCAAGGGTTCTCTCTTAGGCTTGCAATAAGCTGCCTTCATACTGTGTCTTCACATGGCAGAGAGAGAGAGAGCAAGCAGGCATTCTGGTGTGTTTTCTTATAAGGGCACTAATCCCATCATAAGGGCCTCATCCTCATGA